CTCCTAGACCCCACTGGACAATGTTGTCACAATTGCGCTTTTCAATTGAACACAGACATCATCTTTAGAGTCATTTGTCATATTTAAAGACTTCTGCTCGCCATTTTTCGAGCCGCTCTTTCATTTGAGCCAAAATAAACATTCATAACTTGTCTGACATCTCTGTTACAAACTCTGGTCATCAACTCTGTTTTTCAGTTGAAATTGGAATTGTTAATTTACACAATAATAGGATTGCATTGACGATTTTTTCTTAACTCGCAAAAATCTTCAAACAATTTGCTATCGATTGGTGATAAAATTTTTTGGAAATAATGAAATAGAGGGGATAACGCCTTTTTTTTCAGAGGTGATTTTCCAAAAATTTATTTAAAAAAAAGTACTAACTAGCAAATGTTTTTTATTAGCTCGCAATTTTCTTCAAAACTACTTCAATGAGGAAAAAAATAAAAATTTGGAATATCTATACGTGAGGGGCTAATTGATCGGATCTTTGGGAGTCTAGTTTTTGCGATTAAACTAACCTTCGTCCCACGCTTCGCCCTTTGGAGGGCTAATTTTTATCGAAAATTTCTTTCCGTGTAAGGGTCAGAATAAGGACGATGGGGGTTATGTAGAAGTTGGCGGAGCGAGTAGGGGACAGAGCCCTCTAGTATATCAATAAAACTTAACTCCAGTTTATTCGAACCTATTTCTTCCCTCATCTGTAAATTCGGCCTTTCATACCTCAGACTCACAACTTCACTTTGATTTTCAGGGACACTCGACAAAGACGGACAACATTAGCTTGCCTCTCAAAGGCAGATTGTTACTTTTCAATGAAGATGTCAGCGACGAGCGTATAAGAATAGTAACCACTGTGCGAGAAAATTCTAAGCGTTTTTCAGAGAGGTTATTCTCGGCAGAATTTTACATTGTTCATCCAGCCTTCTATTATAAGTATCACAACTAATGGCATAAGTAAATATGCGCAGAGGAATTTTCTTTGTAAAAAATATATCAAAAAAATATATTCAAGCTAAGAATATTGTTTATGTTGCGAACTATGTGAAATTTCATCGATAGTTGGGTAATGATTTTCAGGAGAGCGACATTGCATTCAGTAACGTGCGGTAAAACGTTTCGAGTCGAAATTCGCAACTTTTTCTTAGAAAGGTCATGAAAATCCTTGTGGTCATGAGTGTTTTACCACTTCGTTACTAAATTCTATTTTAAATGTTGCATACCTCATTATTCAGAAATTTCGATTACAAAGTCCTACAAAATTGCGCCTTTTTGGCACAGGGATGAGACTGCCATTACTAGAAAGATTTTTGCACGCTGATTCCAAATCCGCCGGCCAAATCTCATAAAATGACCTAATTTCTGAGAAAAAAATATTAAAGTTCTCAAAATGGGCCAAAATTGCCATTTTCTAAATTTAATTGAATTAGTGGGAAATTGCTCTTGTATTAAATATAGTATAGTTATGTTTGCTAATAAATTAGTAATATGCTTCTGAATGATTATTTTGCACAGTAGCATTTCCTTCTATGATGTACAATTGTTTATTTCATTTGTTTATTTCATTTTATTATAATTTCTTGGTATTTTTGATAAAATTTATGGGGTTTTCTGTGAAATTTTTACAGAAATACGGGGAAAAATTCACGTTTTCCCCAATAAAATTTCCAGTGCCGGCACTGGGATTTTTTCCCGACTGTCACTTCGCGCCTCTTTTCCCGTGCTAGCACTAGAATTTTTCTAAAAAATTTCTCTCCGTGTAATTTTCTCAGATCTTCAATTTAGTTGAATGTTATCAATATCATTATTCTTACCATCCCTTTTCTTCTTCACACTAGATTAGTCCGCGCGCTCTGCGCGCGTATGTCCTACTCCATGGGGCTCAATGTATGGCAATTGTAGTGTATACTATACTATATTATATAAACTATGTATAATATACAATATATAATAGAGTACTATATGTATTATAAAATATAATGTAGATAATAGAAAAAAATTGAATAATGAACTGATAACAATAATAAGATACATTGAGTGTACGATATTGTGTTATATTACATATACCATTATATATGCCTAATGTATTATAATATAGTATAGTATAGAATATAATATAACATAGCATTATCGTAATATTTTTAATGTATGTTATCATAATTTATAAAAAATTTAATGACACAATACGCTGAATAGATTGGCTTAAAAAAACGTTACACTGGATTTTTTATTAAAGGATCCTCCACTGTAAAAAAATTGGGTGTTAAATTGAGTCCGATCGGTGTCCCAATGAGTCCACACCGGATCTTTACGGTGTCAGCGATAAAATGTTAATAGAAAAATTTTACTTTTGCATACTTGAATGAATTTGAAACATCGCATTTGAAGATACCATCAGAAAGCTCTCTTTCAGGGAAATTCATGAAAAATTCGAAATTTTCAATAATCATCATAAAAATCAAATCAACCAATATAGGCATCGTTACCATTTTTTAACTTCGACTTAATGACATTAAAACAAACATTTTAAGTTATGATTGAATTCATTTGAAGCATGATTTTCAAAAATATCTCCAAAATTCTGATTTTCAAAAAATAGAAAATTTTTGCAAATTTTCAAATAACTTAAAATAATAATTATTGCTACGGAGAAAAAAATTCCAGGAAAATTACTGTAGAAAGACGATAAAATAGGTTCATCTTTTCGGCCCTGAGAAGTCCTCTGTAGTCTATACCACCGAGTCCACGGGATTTCACGAGGGGGTGGAGGGGAAGGCATGTATGCGGAGGGTTGAAATCTGTAGCCATCGAGGAGAGAGGGTTGCAGAATATATTTTAGCCACCCTCATCTCTCCGTTTGCAGGCGGTCTTTTAATAAAAAATAGTGAACGTTGATTCTGTATTTATTGACCCCCCTGATGCCAATGAAACCCTCGGAGGTGACAGAAAAGTCGCAAAAAAAATGTTCATTTTCACGTGGGTCAAGAGTCAGGGTGAAAGTCGATTTTCGCCAAAATCGAATTTTTTCGCCAAGTGAATGTTGATTCCGTATTTATTGACCCCTCTCATGCCAAGGACACCCTCGGAGGCGCCAGAAATATCGAAATAAAAAATTTTCATTTTCGTTTGGAGCAAGGCTCAGATTTTTTAACAATTCCATTTTTTATTTAGACAACGCATGCAAGCGGAGGGACGAGGGTGGCTAGAATAGATTCTGCTACCTTCTCCCCTTGTTGGGTAAAAATTTCAAGCCTCCGCATACATGCGTCTCCCCTCCACCCTCTTGTGAAATATCGATTTTCGAGATTCTTAAAAAATTTTAATAATTGCATTTTTTAATTTCAATAACGTATGCGTAAAGAAGGATATGAACCCGGATTTAATATAGGTCCATAGAATTAAGGAGACTGGCAAGGATTTGGAAAGTCTGAATACAAGTCCTGCTAACACCTAACGAGTACTGAAATGGGACATAACCAGAGATAGAAAGCTCTTGGAAGCACTTGGGAAGAGGCTCCGCAAGACCTATCCAGTTCTGAACGGAAAGACCTAAGTAGAACTTGTCAGGTCCAATTATTGGACTCGGGTAGTTTTATCAAAAGCAAGAAATTATTCATAATAAACTATAATAATAAATGCGAATTTTTTCAGTAAAATTCAAAGTCCATTTCAATCCCCAATTTCATTCACAATTTATTGTATCAATATTTATTTACAAATTGTGAATTATCTTTGGAGCATCCGCACTTCTTCTGTCCTCCTGTGGGACCACGCATGGTCGTCCTTGAGGGTTCAAACGCCGGAGAAGGTGAACGTGGAATTTTGTCTCGAGGGAGGGATGTAGGTGCGCCGGGGCACTTTTGTCCTTGTAGAGATGGACAGCACGGCCTGAAAGGCACTTTTCCGGGTGCGTCCCAGGTCTTCGTGGGGGTTGGGGGTGGTGGAGGTGGCGAGACTGGCGACGAACAACAACTCCTTCGGGCACTCTCCCCGCCGCCGTCCTCTTTTCTAGGCTGGGGTGGACATGTACATCTTGGAGATGTTGGAGGCGGCAGGTTGGAGGGTATTTTCCTGCACTGGAATATCGGACTCTCGTCTGTCCCTTTGAAGAGGTACGGCTTTTTGTTGTCGGGAATCTGGAACTGTGTGATGATTTTTGAACCAAAGCAGGAGGTTCGGATGAAAACTGTTGCGTCGCCCACTAGTTGACCGGTTGCTGTTGATATTCTGAGGGAATTTGGATAAATTTGTTGAATAATATATCAATTACTGCTTATACATTTTTGTCATTTCGGTCGAGACGCTGCGCATCTGTGAATCGCTGCCTTACGGCCAAAATGAAGAAAAAATATTGTTCGTTACGGACCTTCACTTTTCGTCGTCCAGGGATTGGTATTAGCCCTTCCCCAAACTAGTAAAAGTGAAAATCACTATCGAACAATGTTGTCCGGGCTGTCGTTATGGGGTTTTCATACTCGTGGAGTTGGCAGGCCTCGCCTGCGGCTCAGCCCACCAACTCCCCACGAGTAAAAAAAAACCCAAAACGACAGGCCGGAAATATACTATTCTAGCTCATATGATTGCCCTCGCCTTCGGCCCGAGCTGCCAATTCATATTTTCTAGAAATTGAGTTTTTTAGCCTTATGGTAAAATCCACTCTGATGTCACTATACACGGAGAGAAATTTTTTAGGAAAATTTTTGTGCTAGCACGGAAAAAGAGGCGCAAAGTGATGGTCAGGAAAAAATTCCAGTTCTGGCACTAGAAATTTTATTGGAGAAAACGTGAATTTTTCTCCGTTAGTGAATTAGTTCTCCCCCCACTTTGAAACGACCCATACGATTGTGGTTTTCATCGTCTCCCTCCTTGAGACAAGTTTAAACTTCAATTTCAACTTAATTATGACTACTCCCCGTATGGAAAGCGGAATATATGTGAAATATATGTCCATTATACGCACATATATTTTGGCAAAAAAGGCAATACATCAGATATATGCAGAATATATGCGAGCACATATATATTACCCACATATATTCGACATTTATTTAACATATATGTAAGATATATTTTCGGCAAAAAATGCAATATGTCACATATATGTCACGTATAATTATTTGCATATATTTTTTTTCTGTTAGGGTCACAATGATGTTAACATCGCGATTTAACGCGAAGTGTGAACATTTATCAATGCGACATTTATCAGGTTACCACGATATTTCGACATTCAGCCCCCGAATTTCGAAGTAACACGGTAAAGAACTCTCCAAATTTTAGTAAAAGATAGCCTGCTTTGCGCACCACCTGTTTGAGAGAGTTCTTCAAGTAGTGCTTAAAAGAGAAGATTTACGAAATCGTTTATCCAATGGAAAATTTTATACGACTTTTGCTTCTGGCGCTTTGTTAAGGAGTTATTCATTAACAAAGCGAAAATCCACTGCTATCACCCTTTTTTGAAAATTCATATCGCCTCCCTCACTTCGGCTGGAGGAATTAAAGTGATGGCAATCGATTCGAAAAATATTCACATCTGAAAATAGGTCTTCTGAGCTTATTCTTTTGAATTCGGTCGTGACACTTTACGCCAGAAAAAAAAATCAAAAACTGTGGAGCTTTATCAAAGATCGTCGAATTTTCCGGAAGATTAATCTACAAATCCTCATCTCCAGAATTTTTTTAAACTTTCCGTGATTTTTAGAAAAAATGAATAACTGAAAATTTTCCAAGTGATTCTCGAATTTTTCAGAAAATCCTGGACCTGTTTAAGGCAATGTAACGTTCGAGAAAATTCCGTTATTTGTAGAGAAAACGCATGTCTACAATTATATGAAGTGTAATTATGTTTATAAATTTAGATAGTAAATCAACCCTCAGGAAAAAAGTATCTTCAAAAATTTTTACATATTCTAAATAGAATTTGTAATTCAGCATATGTAATTTTCTGTATGAAATAAAATATTGTCATATCCAACAATAAAAAAAATCCACGCGAAATCTCAATTTGATCATGTACCAGGAGAAATAATTAAATTTAGAACAATATTTTGATGGAAATTTACTTGAAAGTATCTTTCATGGATTTACAAGGATTTCCACTCTTGAAGACTTGTTTATTCAGCAACGAATTTATCAAATCCTTCACTTCAATTATTGCACTCCCAATCAGCATTACATCTGGAAGAACCCCAGGAGGAAGTTTTTTGTACACAGACATTGTGATTGGGAAGGAGTGTAATTCTTTCTCAAGAATTATGGTGGGAAGTGCAAAGAGGCAGGATTTCCCTTTTCTGAAGACTTGGGCTTCTTCCAAGCACGCGCAGTTGGAGGCCGCAGGGTCATCTTGGTGAATTGTTATTAGTGGAAGATTCAATATCTGTAAACGAGGAAAATCGTTTGTTTCTTGGTGACTAATATTACATTTACTGAGGATATGATGGAGAGTTTAATTTTAGAAATTTAGGAGGAATGGTTAATTCACCACGATGAAGGAAGAATTTTGAAAACGTTGAAATAGATATTCGACAAATAAAGTGATGATTTGTTTTCCTATCAGCCCTCGCATCCTCACGTAGAGTGTAAGGAGCACTCCAAACGTCATTGCAATACTTTTTTTTGGTACTTTGAGATTGGTAGGAATGAAAATTATTGGACGAATATCATTTTCCTGTGCGTAAAATGAAATTTTACGCACGCTCCGCGTGCGCAAACTCCCACTTTTCCACAAATTGTGATGTAAAATAGGATTCGACACTCGTGAGAAAAGTGTTCTTTGACCCGTGGGAGCAAAGGCAAAAAAAAATGGCAAAATATACTACTTTATTATGTTTATTCTCCATAAAATAAATGTCATTGAAAAATTTGTGCAAGAAAAAAATGGCGGAAGGCCCTCGAGCGATGGCCTATTGTAAAAGGTTTATTTTTTGTGTATTTTTCTTACGATAAATTTCGTTAAAAATTTTAAAAACATCAAGAAAAAAAAAATTTCTTGAGAAATTTAATTCAGTTTTCAACAGAAATCATTGACGTAGAGCCTCTAAAATCACTCCTTCTCAACATAAATCAATGATCACCAAATCATGTTTTATTCGAAATCGTTTTATCACTTCATTAAGGGAACGTGAAATCTCAAAGGCTTCGTTGGTGTAGGAGACGTATCTAGCGATTTTGAATATGTTATGGAATGTCTTGAAAAGTGCGCTCAAGCTACGCTTTACGCACTCGAAGTTCACTTTATACACGCACTTGTGCACAAAAACAGTCACTTTATCCCCACTACCGTTCCGAACAGTGAACTCGGCAGATATCACAAAAAATAGGATGTGTTACACCTGCGTGCGAGAAAGTGAAACTTTACGCGCTAGTACACGGAGAGGTATTTCTGGTAAAATTTCTGGGGCTTTCCGTGAAATTTTCATAAAAATACGGGGAAAAATTTACGTTTTTCCCAATAAAATTTCCAGTGCCGGCCCTGGAATTTTTTCCTGGCCGTCACTTTGCGCCTTTTTTCCCGTGCTAGCACTAGAATTTTTCTAAAAAATTTCTCTCCGTATAACACAATATACTATTTTTGACCCGAGGGAGCAATGTAGCACTCGCCAAAGGCGAGTGCTAACCTCCCATGGGTCAAACAACACAATGTATTATCACAATGTATAGAAAGTGGGATTTCGCGCAAGCGGAGTGCGTAAAATTCGACTTTACGCACAACTGAGGACAACATAGTTTTTCATTTTTAACGTCCAAGGTAAAAAACTATATAACAACCCCGATCCGATTGACATTTTATTTTTCAAAATGTTCATTAGAGTCCGAAGAACAAAACCATGTATCCGTTTCGCGATCCATCGAATAGATCATGGAAAAATTGAAGAAGAAAATTTCATTTTGTTTATTACTTTTGCATTGATTTACTAATTTTTCATTTTTTTCCAATTTTTTCATGATCTGTTCAATGGATTGTAAAATGGACGCATATGTTTCTTCTTTAAAGACGAACGAACGTTTTGGAAACAAAAAAACTGTTAATCGAATGAAAAATGAGGCGTCCGGACAAATTTAAAGTTAAACATAAAAACGACGGTTTTCGTTAATTTACGGGGCAAAATCAATTGGATTTCGTATATTCAAATGCTACCAACAAGTCCCGAGGTCTCCTCTTAATGAATATAGGGGAGAGTGGGGTAAAATGGACACTTTAAACATTTTTTAAATTATTCATAACTCAGAAACAAATTTATCAATTGGGCTCAGTTTAGGCTCGTCACAAAGGAAAATAATTGTTCTTTGTATTGAAAAAAAATTATTAAATTTTATCAACATTTCAGCCCCTCATTAACATTTTAAAAAAGTCGAAAGTGTCCGCTTTACCCCAACCTCCCCTACTGAATGTAGGATATTATCGTTCATTGCCAAGGTCAGGCTCACGGTCGAACATAAAAGCCGATATGATATCACACCTTCGGATCTGATTATTTGATTACAGCTTACGTCTGATAAAACTGAATCAAGTTCATGTTTACATAAAAAACATTCATTGTCACAAGACAAAGGTTACCTGAAACGAGACGCAGGTTAAGGCGGGTAAAATCTCGTCATGCATGGCACGAATCCCCGGAACGTTGACACGATCCACCAGAAATTCAATCAGAAAGAGCTGCTGTTCGTCTCCCGCCATTTCTACTTTTTTCACTATTTTCATTCAAATAATCACGTGAACTTTACATATTCCTTGTAAATTTGGATCGAAAGTGTCATCATATCAAACGTGTCAGATAACAAATAAACATCGCAAAGGTTTCCGACCTAAAAATAATAATGAAGGCAACCAAGAATATCAACTTCAAGTGAGGGGCTAGGGTAAACTGCCCAGTAGATGGACGCCTAAGGAAACCGCCCAGTAGATGGACGTTTGTTTTTTAGCAATTGAAAAAAAATCGTCACTCAGGGGTTAAGAATCACAACAGTTAGTGAAAATTCAAAGCAACAATTCACATTTCAGTATGTTTTTGCGTAATTTCCTATCCAAAAGTAGCTCGTCCATCTATAGGACAGTGTCCATCTAGTGAGTAGCTTACCCTACTCACTTTCGAAATCATCTTCGAAATCACGTGAAATCGCCGGAAATCAATGAAATCACCGAAATCAGTGGCGCACTGGCGCAGTACGAACCATGCAAGTAATTCGTGATTTTGAAATTGACAGGCCTGCCAACGACGATAATAAAATGCTGATGTACTCACTGCCATATGCGGAGAGAAATATTCAATAAAAATTACGTATCTTTTCGTAATTCCGGAGCGCAATGTGATTGTAGGAAATTTTACGGAACTGACACGTAATTTTTACTTGAAATCACGGAATTTTTCCCGAATGCTCTGTAATTTTTAACTGAATCTCCTGTGAAAAATTACGATACCGTCAATTAAATTTGCTGAGTCGATTCCGTAATCGGTGAGCGAACTGTGAGTTCCGTACTTTCTACTGAAAATTTCTCTCCGTGTAGTAAGATTGTAAAATGGACCGCTTTTCATCGTCATTAGCTCAAGATTGGCGGAGTGGAATCAAATGAATTCGTTATTATTTGGCAGTTATTGTCAGTTTTGATTTTCATAATTTGACACAACTCGTTTTGTCCCACCTCTATTATTTATCAACTTTATTTTTCTGAAATCACGGATTTGGAATTAATGAAATCAGTCGAAATCATGAAATCATTTTTTTCGAATTCACTGAAATCATCGCTAAAATCACCCGAAATCGACTTCATTTCGAAATCATGGTGTTACTTAATTATGGAGTGAGTACCCCTCGACTTCAAGTATTCGATGGAAAATTGCAAATGAAGAATCGACTTAAAAGACAATTTCAACCTTTTTTGCTCCAAATTTCCTCATTTCTTCTTCTTGCCCTTGCCCTTGCCCTTTGCCTTTCCCTTCTTCTTAACTTCTTTAGTCTCCACTTCCGTTTGAGCCTCTCTCGTCTCATATCGAATTGGTGGGCGTCTCTCCGGGCCTTTCGGAGTTCTCATCTCTAACTGGAGATCGGATTTCTCGTTAGCCCCCACTAATCCCTTTTTTCCAATCCTGAGGACAAACACATCGTGCTCAGGATCAGGTTCAGATGACTCAGACTCCACAGTGACCGTTGGTTTCTTCTGCCCATCGTAATCAAGTAGTCCAGAGACCTTGAGAACAACCGCTTTCCCACAGGGCATGGGACTCCCCCTGCTCGAAGTTATCATTCCTTTGGGCTCCATCCTCAATGCTTTTGAGGGGTCCTGATTTTCAGATCCTTGTCGGTAACATTTTTCAGTCGCCTAGAAGTATTTCACATTCGTGTGTATTTCCACAGCAAAAAAAGATTTAGTTTTGAGGAATACATCCCAAATATTTAGGGCTTTTTGGCATTCACTACACGGAGAGAAATATTCAATAACAATTACGTATCTTTTCCGTAATTCCGGAGCGAAATGTGGTTGTAGGAAATTTTGCGAAACTGTCACGGAATTTTTCCGGAGCGTTCCGTAATTTTTATCTGAATCTCTTGTGAAAAATTACGATACTGTCACTTAAATTTTCTGAGTCGATTCCGTAATCGGTGAGTGAAGTGAGAGTTCCGTAATTTTTAATGAACATTTCTCTCCGTGTAGAATTACTCTGGACATTAGTAATAAAATCGTTTTAAGAGGAGACTACTATGAGTTTTAAAGTCGCGGGCTATTGGAATGAGATTTCTCGTATACATTGAAGATCGATTATATATATTTGAAAAAATGGGTGCAATAACAATTATGAATGAGTTTTTTCAAATTCAGCTCCTACACAGCTAATTTCGTTCTTTTTTAAATAAAAAATTGCGCCATTTATTCAAAATAGCCCGAAAAATGTTTCTGAAAGAATCAAGAATAAATTTAAAATATTTGAAGAATCATTTTTTTACCTAATTTACTGTCTGTTAAAAGCCAAAAGTACCGCTAAAGACAGTGAACCATCAAAAACATCAAAACAATCAAAACCTAAATCATCTAATCTGTGAAAAAATCGAGAAAAGGGAACAATCTTGTCGTACAAGAAATTGCGGAAGATAGTGATGTGAAATGTCTCTTCTGTAATAAATTATATTCAGAGTCAAATGAAGATTGGACAAAATGAGAGAAATGTCCAGATTGGGCACATGAGTCATGTGCTGCTATCGACTGTGATCGTGATGATAATTATACTTGTGATTATTGTGAATAATTTCTTTGCATTCAGACTAATTAATTTTATGAATATTCTCCCCAAAGATTTCTCAAATTTTTCTAGCGCAAAAATTCTCAAGTAGTTTTCGATTAAAATTACTTCCTTATTACATTATATTCATCTGATAAAATTTTTCATCTCCGATTTTTATTCTTTGCTTTTTTTCTGCATTCTATCAAAATGTGAGGATAGAAATTGAATTGATAGGTATTCTTCCATTATTTGAAAATATATATCAATTTTAAAACTTTCCAGAGACATTGAAAAATCGAAATTTTCATTTTCTTGCTATCACGTATCTGTTTTTTTTTCACATCCTTCCATTGAAATTAAATCATAGAGAACATATTGATATTTTTTCGTCATCTAAAAAAAAATCAGTTTGGAAATTTGTCAGAAAATTGAAAAATCGCTTTTTTTATTTTCTTGCTGACCATCTCTCCCTGCATTTTTCTCATTTCCTCTCAATGAAATCAGATCATGAAAACGAAAAAGTTCATTTTCATGATCTCATTTCATTGAGAGGAATTATTATATTATACTGATATTATTTAGCATAAATATCTCTTCATTTAAAAAGAGAAAACCTGATCCCACAATTTGTATACTACAATGGGAATAGAATCTAATAAATTTAATTTAATCTAACCAAGAAGAAAAATTGGAAAGAAAACAATAAAATAAATTAATATAACATAATATAATCCAGCGACGGACGCGAATAAAGGGCTCCATATAATGATAAAGACACTAGCGCCCGTTCGCTAGTGTCTTCATCATCATATAAAATATTATCGTTAAAGGAAATCGAACGACCAGTGGACAGAGAACAGAACTTACCCATTAACTTGTCCACGATTGAACGAAAATCATAAACTGATTTCGACAAGTGTTAACAGTTGATGCTCAAATAAAATCATTATTATGAAACTTTCAAAAGTTTTGAAGAAAAGGAAAGTATCGCATTGGGAAATTTTTGAGATACCCCATCATGCCCCGGCTCCCCATAAACACAATTTTTAGATACGAAATAAATATCATCATTCACGATTCCACATGAAATACCCTAACAGAACTGAGCAATAAAGAAATGAGGGTCGAGTGTTGACCAGAAAGAAAACTCGTTATTTCCCTCGAGTAAAAATATCCAATTTAACCACCTGCAATGAACCGACATTGATCCTCGCAGAATCCGGTTGTCCACACGGCATGCACCAAGTCTTCTTCGGTAAACAGACCCCACACTCTCCAGCATCGTCCTCCGACTCTTCGCAGACATTCATCTCACTCGGATTAATGATCCTACATTTGTAGGAAAGGGTCTTGTCATCACGTTCGTCTCCCCTGAAGACGAATGACGTTGCTGTCTCTTCAGGCGGGGAGTCGAACTCAGTGACAATAGACTGGCCAAACCCAGAGATTCTGACTAGGACTGAAACCGTCCCCGAGGGTTCCTCTTCGTAGAACAATTCCACAGGCCCTTCGTATGACTTCGGCGGAGGGACATCCCTGTGCCAGCACTGGAGAATCTCCTTTCGGAGTCCGGCAAACTCCGCCGACATGTCCAGCTCTCCTGTGCCCACCAGAATGTCCGGGCGAATCTCTTCGGGCATCTTCTTCTGGACTTTCAGGCTTATCTTGAGTTCAGTTGATATTGTTGTCACCAGTTTCTCGGGGATCGCGAAGAGGATTGATCTACCCGAGAAGAAGCTCTCGGAGTCCCCCGGGATGCCGGAGAGGGGCTCGAACATGGGATCCACTGGGGTTATCTCGATCGAGTCGTCCTGCAGGTTCAGGAAATTCAGAGTTACCGTTGTTGGGACGTAAAACATCTCGTTAAACCTCCCCAGTCTCTCGCTGTCGATCCTGTGGATGAAGAACTCCAGGAGGAAGAGGTATTGCTCTCTCCGGGGGGGAGTCGGATCGGGAGGCTGAGTCTGCTGAGATGGTGAGGACTCCATGGCGATCTTTCTTGAAGACACTCTCTGATTTTGGAGCGGACGGGGAATGGGGGGGGTTAGATCACTTGGGGATTTTTGGGGATCTTTATCGATCCTCCATCGGGTCTAGAGCGTAAACATAACCAAGGTTTGCTGACATTTTTAGTTTCAAATGTTTTAGTATAATGGGTGAGCGGTGATGGGAATGAGGCGGTGGGAGTGCAGAGGTCGGCAGATTTTTGTGGAAGACGTATTTATTCGGCATTTGGCTGACGTCTGGGGTCTTATGTTACAACAATTTTTGTTGACTCTTCGTAAATAATACTTCAGGGTAGTACTGACGAGGATTTATTGCGTTTCGGGAGAAGAAATGCGCGTTTTTGGAAATTTACTATTCATTTCTAAAAATGTTGTTCACGATCTGTCGTCATTCTAAATTCATAAATTTTTGTGGAAAATGACGCGCAGTCTACATGTGGGGAAAAGTTGGATACAAAAAAATTAGATAATCGCGGCAGATTTTCCTCAACGAAAGGTAACACCCTGGTAAAACAGTTCGATTATTTCCGACTGGGTGATAAAAAATGAATCGGCGTTGTCTGAATTTTTTTTTTTTTCAGATTTTCAAAGCTTCAGATTTTTGGTTTTTCCAGGGGGAAAGCCGACTTTCGCCAAAATCGAATTTTTTAGCCGTGTCAACGTTGATTCCAACTATTTAAGCGACGGGCTATTCAGAACTCACAAAAGTATGTAGAAAAAGTGAAAACTGAAAAAAAAATTTTCACCGGGGGCCAAAGTGTCAGATCTGGGATTTTTTCAGGGAGAAAGTCGGTCAAAGGGTCACGAGGGCCAAAGTATGAGATCTTGGATTTTTCCAGGGGGAAAGTCGACTTTCGCCAAAATTGAATTTTTTAGCCGGGTGAACGTTGATTCCATCTATTTCAGCGACGGGCTATTCAGAACTCTCAAAAGTATGTGGAAAAAGTGAAAACTGAACAAGTTTTTTCATCACGCTGTGACGAAAAGTGAACTTTTCGGCACGCGGAGCGTGCCTAAAAGTCCAATTTCCGCCACATTGTGATGAAAAATATTGTTCGTAACTCGTGAAAAAATATTTTTTTACTCGTTACGAAATATACTATTTCATCACAATGTGACGAAAAGTGAACTTTTCGCCACGCTCCGCGTGCCTAAAAGTCCACTTTCCGGCACATTGTGATGAAAAATATTGTTCGTAACTCGTGAAAAACGTGTTTGAAATTTTTTAGAAATTTCCGACATAAAACTGTTTGACAGCCTCAAACACTGCGCTCTGATTGGCAAAAATCCGAGTGAGAAAAATAATCAGTGAAAATTACGGAATTCACAATTCGCTGACCGATTACGGAATCGACTCAGAAAATTAAAGTGACGGTATCGTAATTTTTCAGAGGAGATTCAGATAAAAATTACGGAACGCTCTGGAAAAATTCCGTGACAGTTCCGTAAAATTTCCTACAACCACATTTCACTCCGGAATTACGGAAAAAATACGTAATTTTTATTGAATATTTTGTCTCTGTGTGTAATCTCATATTCGCCAGAAAAGTTACTCACGGCCTAGTGTCGAAATGTACTATTGTCTTTGGGTGTACAAAAAGCAACACTCGCACAGTCATGAATCATACCAGGGGGCTAAGACGGTCTCAGACTCAATCCGTTGAATATGATAATTCGATTGAAAGTGACCCTCAACGGTCAATTGAAGAAAAAATCGAACGAAATTGAATGTAACCAAATGTTTCACAATGTGTATCACGAGTTGACTCAATGATTAATAGACCGGCTACGAAAATTCTTTCAGTGGTATAGCATTAATTATAGCAATAATTGACCCGACGCCATCGAAGAATTCACCCTTTCCCCGGCCCCTCATCGCTTACAGTAATTCCGTTCCCGCTCCCTCAAATAAACCAAGAAATTTCGCCCAATTATCTTGATAATGTCTCAATCATTTTTCACGTAAAAATTCAGTGGCTTTCAGAAGTGGAAATTATCATTTTTTCTTTACTCTGGCTCAGTACACTGGTAATATTGAATTATTGAGTCATTTTTTGTCTGAGAAACTGAACGAAGTAAATAGCGGAGTCATAAAATTTTAGTACTTCATTCGACAGTCGTTCTAGATAAGTGGAACACGAATGATCTTAATTTTTGGTCACTCCCGTTCTTGGCGACTAATCTCTGTGGACATAGGACGGAAAATTGAGGGGATAGACTTCAAGGCTATCTTTAAAGGCAGCACGTGGCCTCAGTCCACGTGTATGAGCTTTATGAGAATTAATTCCCCGAAAACTCAATGATAATTGAGAGGCACAAGCAAGACTTTTCGCATCGTGTTGAATGTGAAACTATTTCCACAGGAAGAAAAAAATATCACAGCAATTACTGCACTTACTTGGTAAAATGGCCTCATTTAAAGTAGCTCTACCCTTACGATAAATTCAAAGACTATTAAAAACTTTAAAGCATTTTCAGAAAATTAAATGAGATTTGGAATAATATTTTTTTATGAATTCAACTCTAGTCTGGTCACCATCCGCGATCCTGTGAGTCGCGTCCCCTCCGCGGGGATTCGCCTCCGTGTTATTTAGACTCCAGCGTTGCCGAATTCACCCTTGAGTGCCCGGGCGCGTTTCGCGAGTTTCCGGCAACATCGCGTAACGGGCTATTTTATTTAACCCCTCAAGGACGGGGTCCACATACGTATATGGACCCAAGCAAAAACGCATAATTATGTTCAAAACTGAATAATTCCAAAACTGTGACAGATAATCCAATTCCGCTAACATTATTCGATAGCTGGATAGTGTAGCTTCAATTTCTAATGCGTTTTATAATTTTTCATGCATCAGAATTTATCGAATCTCAGTAATATTAAGCGCACGTTAGGTTTCGTAACAGAAAGGCCCCGTACGCGAGGGATCAACATGATAAAAATACAGTAGACTCTCGCTAGATGCACACCCGCTAGTTGCTCATCTTCCCCTAATGTCCTTCTCGGACGCTTGAGCGTTGATCCCCAGTCTCGGCCGCCTTATCGCTTTCTTTTGTCCTTTGTACGTAAACAGAGACGTCCAAATAATTTTATTTCTGAATAATTAATTTAGATTCGCGGCTTAAAGTTTTTATCAACATGAGAACATAACTCTGTCTATCAGTCGAAAGAAAACAGGAATTTACAGTCCTTGCAGTTCTGGATAAACTTCTTTAACCCTCTAAGGTGAAAAGTGTAGTAAAGCGTAGTGGGGCGCTCTCGGAATTTTTCTGGGAATTTTCCTCATCCAAATGTCAGCCAATAGAATTGTACTATTCGACTGATATTTCATATAGTCAACACGGTATTCAGCTGATAATTTTTGATAATTCAACTGGTAATTTTTCATGTTGACTATATTTGTGGAAAACAAAAGATTCCGTGGTCGAGTGAACCCCTGGTTGGAACTGTCAGATGGATTTGGATCAGAGACAAATCTCATGGTGCAATTCTTTTGGCCGACATTTGGATGGGAAAATTCCCTCCCGAATACTACTCGAGCTTCAAAATTAATCGAGTAATTCCCTCAAGGTTCCCTGCACACAAACGAAGTCGTCAAGTTTTTCAGGAAAAATGTTTTAACCTGAAACACTTGACTCCTTCGTTTGTTTACAACGAACCTATCGGGAATTGAACGATAATTTTGAAGCTCACGTGGTATTACTTGCGGTAATTTGTATTGAATTTTTCTCTCCGTGTACCCCGCGAAATTGTAATTCAAGGTAAATTTTTCCGTCATTGCGGTGCACTGTTAGAAATTTTCTGATTCCACGTAAAATATGGTAGTAATTCTCATGAGAGTGACATTGAATCTGATTTAAGGGAAAACTGGTTATGAAATTTCAAGTTTTAGGGAGAATTCAAGGGAATTCCTGAGTTTTTAGTTACAGTGAGACACAAGTTTCACAACATGATTGAATTTTCCAAGGAACATGAATATTCAGAAACGAAATGACATGAATTATTTTGCAATAAGTTTATCGCGAGAATATGTGAATAGACAACTTGAGTGTTTGGGTGGTGACTAGGCGTGTTATTATGTTAAACGCACAGTGCACGGTGCTCCAGGAATTTCTGGAGGTTTTTGCATAGTAATGGGAAAACTGGGTGAGGTCTCTTGCTACTTAGTTGATTGGATAAAATTACTCATTATCTTCGGTAATAAATCGCGACAAAACTCGGGGAAATTGCGTAATGATGTTTCGTAATAATAATCAACTAGAGATGAATAACACAAAACGAGTTGAATAGTTAATACTCACTAAGTGGGTACTTGTCTAGGAAACGAGCAAATGTGCTTCAAAGTATCAAAAGACCTCTCTTGTCGGGGAGATAATTTCTCACGTGGTCGGTCGTCTCATAATTTTTACTAATTTCGTTCATTACGAAGATTAAAAAATTTTATGATAAAAAATTAAGTGATTATCCGTTTACGAAAGGCCTGTTTTGTGAGAAAATATGTTGAGAAATTTCTTGAAACGTTTCATGAAATGAGTTATTAAACCTTGTGCGGAATATTGCCGGAATAATTGTTCCGCAAAAATCCGGCAAAAATCACTACATACTTTCGTCATATAAAAAAAAGTTTATCTCAAACTAATTAAGGTTCTTCGATTTGTATTGAAACTTGAAAATAATTTTTAATTCTTAATTATTATTAAACGATTAATTATAAATTTCTGAATTTGATTGAGGATTAATTTAAGGAAAATTTAGAAATTGTACCATTTAGTTAGCTAATTTTCTATGCAATGAAAGAATTTTAATTCTGCATTATGATTTTGCCTATCTCTGTTGCGCAAATGATGGCCTGACAATCATCTAAAACATTTGACGTCAAAAAGTGGAAGGACTTTTTCTGTTACCGACAAAGTTTCTCAGCGCAGAAGGCTTTCGACCATAATTCTAAACTAAAAAACATCGAATTAGTTTACAATAACAGAAC